TAATACATTTTAGTGGCTATTAGTACAAACTATCAATTTATTCATCTGGTCCTTGTCTCTTATCCTGTATCCTTGTTATATTTTTATTTTTACCTTTATTTTTATTTTTTGAGGAAGATTAGCACTGAGCTAACATCTGCTGCCAATCCTCCTCTTTTTACTGAGGAAGATTGGCCCTGAGCTAACATCTGTGCCCATCTTCCTCTATTTTATATGTGGGACACCCGCCACAGAATAGCTTGATAAGTGGTACATAGGTCCGTGCCCAGGATCTGAACCAGCGAACCCTGGGCTACGGAAGTGGAAGGTGCATATTTAACTGCTGTGTCACCAGGCCAGCCCCCCTGTTATATTTTTAGTAGTCTCTTCTCCCTTGGCTACTACTTCTTGACCTTCAAAGGTACATCCTTCTTGCTCTAAATGAGATAAGGCAAGTTAGGTTCTGTCCCAAGGAAAACTGATTCAACAGGGTTAATTTTGTTTGTTTTTATCTTAATAGAGTCTTCTGCTCTACCCTCCCCACAAGCAAACATACTATCATTTCCCCCTTAGCCCACTTTCACTTATGGAAGGACCACTGCCCATTCATTGTGCTGTCAAAACTTATTGTAATGTGGGGTTTATCTCTACCTCTTAGTTGAAGCTAATCCTGTGCTGAGGCTGCAAAACTCCTAGCTTCGTGTCTATGATAGCCCCAAGTAGCAGCTGGCAATAGCTTTTGGCAGCCTCTTTTCAGGAGTGGGGTGTTCCATTGTCTGCAGTTTTCTTTACGGTAATTTAATCTACACCTTAGGGGTGCTTAGTTAACATTTTTGAAGTACCTTAATCAGGAATCCACACTCCAGGGGTAGTTAGTTAACATTTGAAAGACCCTAATCAAGATTCAGTACTCCAGAGGCAACCAGTGCATCTGATATTGCTCTCTCAATTTGCACCAGTGGGTGCGTTAATTAGAATAAAAGGTGTTAGAAGTAATTGTTCACTGGTGAAACGAATGGTATTTAAGGTATATAGTTGACCAAGTCCCTCCACTGGGGCATGAATAGAGGGGAAGGATTTGGAGTGGTCGGCAGCCTACTAGCCTAGGTCTGGAGTTTGATTGATTCTGTGTTTGCAGCCCTCGATAGAGGGTTTTGTCCGCTCCCTGGCCAGTGGAGCGTGTGAAGTCTCTGTAGCCCTACATGGGCCAAATCCTGCCTGCCTTTATCTGCTTCTCCACCCGGAGCTCATTGGACGCACAGTCTGGTTCTGCTCACTGTTTGCATTTCTTGTCCACAGACACGTTACTCTCAATTTTGAGCCAGACTATTTTTAATTTCTTAATTTATATTTTATGTATAATTATGTTTTGACCAGATTGAATGTCTCAAGTATGAATTTACAAGAAGCACAAGAATTATTATTTTTTTCTTTTTTGAGGAAGATTAACCCTGAGCTAACTACTGCCAATCCTCCTCTTTTTGCTGAGGAAGACTGGCCCTGAGCTAACATCTGTACCCATCTTCCTCTGCTTTATATGTGGGACGCCTACCACAGCATGGCTGTTGCCAAGCAGTGCCCAAAGTGTCTTAGTTAAACCTTCCTTCCACGATTTCATGCTTAGCCTCAACCACAGGCATGATTTATATCCACTTAGGCATAGATACTTATATATCCCATTATATAGGTATATATGTTTATATCTGTTTATGTATTTATCTATCCATATCAAGGTGTGTGTATGTGTATGTGTGTAATAAGAAACAATTAGGACCGATTAGGACCGATTAGGACCAATAGACCAATAGAATAGGACCAATAGGATTTTAGTAGAAATAATTGGTTAAAGGACACAAAAGTCCCTAATATTTAGCACTATACTATCAGTGAGAGTCTTCAACACCAGCATCAAGATATCCTCACGTGTTGGGACTGGCATAGTGGAGTAGTGGTTGAGTTCACGTGCTTTGCTTCAGTGGTCCAGGGTTTGGATCCTGGCCCCGGACCTACGCACTGCTCATCAAGCTGTACTGTGGCAACGTCCCACATACAAAATAGAGGAAGATTGGCACAGATGTTAGCTTGGTGACAATCTTCCTGAAGCAAAAAGAGGAGGACTGGCAATAGATGTTAGCTCAGGGCCAATCTTCCTCACCAAAAAAAAAAAAAATAAAAAATGAGACCCTTGCTTGATAAGATCCTCAGAACAAAAGATCAAAGATAGGGGGATTGGGGAAGGGAGTAAAATATTTCTAATTTTAAAGTGTTCTGGAACCTACACATTGAGTATATATTATAGCAATATAGATACAGGGGAATGATTAGGGGTGTAGTAGTTTGGAAATATGTACGTTTTGTTCTAATTGTGGTATGAGGCCTTACTAAATTTCACCTGAATTATTTTTGTATAAGGCTTTTTCCATAAAGCACCAATAATTCAATCTGACCTCACAGGGTTTTTGTGATTATTAGACTAGTCTTCGTGGTTGATTCTATTATTCTTTTAAATTGCCTTTTAATTTTCGGCTGATGTAAGTGAAATAGATAATATAAATTAATTAATATTAGATCTATTCAGTGTTTATGCTCTAGGAGATTTCAGGAGACAAACAGAAAGATAAGGTTGTAAACAAATGTGTCATTGGGGGCTGTGGCATTTTATTATTCATACCTTGCCTATTTGTTATTTTTCAATAGGCTATCTATCATATTAGTGCAGATGTAAGTAGCCATATGCCACATAATCTAGGGACTTATTGATTTAAACTGTGTTTCTCTCATCACCAATCACTCTTGTGGCAGGTGGCTGCCATGTTCAGGTGGCCCCTTGCTTGTGTCTTGTTTGTGACTCAAGATCCTTTTGTCCCAGCTAAATTTCTCTTACTTCTTTTCCTGCCTGAAGCTCTGCTTTTAGTTTTGCTTCATTTTCCCTCTCTAACGTGATGAATTTCCTCGGCTCCGTGGCTCTTAAGTACTTTTCTCTTCTTGCTGTTGAGCTTGGTTTTGCAGAATGTAGTAATTCTGTGGCCTGAGGCGTTTAGCTCGTTTCATGTATAAAACAAAACAAGTAACTCAAACGTCTATTCTTGGAATGTCACATTTGGAAATATTGGTGACTTTTTTTGATTTGCTTTCAGAATTGTCATGTCGTCTTTCGAGGTTTAAGGCTTCTTGGTTCTACTCTCAGTTTATTAGTATTAAACTTTTAAAAATTAAATACCATATCATCAAATGCCCTCTACATTGCAAAGAAAGCCATATGGATTTGGTCATTGTTTGTGTGCTTCTCTCTCCTCATGGGTTTCAGGGGTCTAAGTAAGAACAGCATCATGGATAAATATGTAGAGGACTTATTCACTTAAGAATGAGCTTGTGTAAGTAATTATATCATGTGTTATTGAATGCCGTTGGTTCATATTTAAGTGCGTTTTATGAATTGGGAGCAAAACAAAGGGATTGAGGAAAATAGCCTACATGTCAGCTGAAGAGCGGTTTTAGACTTCTACTTTATGCGGTAGTTACAAAGACTTGCTCCATATACTGGGATATTTTCATTTTTCCCTAAGTAAATAGATTTGAGTACCTTCTCATGGTGCTGAGCAACTTAGAGTAGGCTTATAGTATAGTTGAGCTTATAGATTTAGTTGAATCTACTTAAGAAGAATGCATACATTCTTTCAGGATATCACATATTTAAAAAATCTTCCAGTTGTTTTGAGGAGTGGAGAAGAGGGGAGGATGGGAAAAACTTTAACTATTAGGGTTTGCCTTTAGACTCACTTTTGCTTTGGTTGATCATAACCTAGCATTAGGCCAGAGGTTTTTAACCTGTGGTTCTTTTGGTGGTTTGAAAACCCTGAAGTTATGTGAGAAATTTTCATACACGTGCATTAGTTTGAGGGAAAGGCCTATGGTTTTCAGTAGATAATGGAAGTCCCAGACTCCAGTCCCGTCTTCTCTCCACAAGGATTAAGAACCACTATTCTAGGCTATTTTTTCCATCCTAAGACCAGATAATTTGAGAGTGTGTGTGTGTGTGTGTGTGTATGAGGAAGATTTGCCCTCAGCTAACTAACATCTGTTGCCAATCCTCCTCTTTTTTCACTTGAGGAAGATTAGTCCTGAGCTAGCATCTGTGCCAGTCTTCCTCTATGTTTTGTATGTAAGATGTCTCCACAGCATGGCTGATGAGCAGAGTAGGTCCACACCTGGGGTCCAAACCTGCAAATCTGGGCCACCGAGGTGGAGCTTTAACCACTCGGCCATGGGGCAGCCCCTCAAAACCAGATGATTTGGATGAAAACTGTAGTCTAAAGGTCTACAGAGGCATTTGACATAAAATTACTTCTCAGAAAACTTCCATGGATTAGCAAGACTTGTCTTCAGTAGATACTGATGTTATGGTAGACATATGTTTAATGAAAACTATGAGGTTATTGTTTCGTATTTATGAAATACCCTTCATTACTCTTTTCCTCGAAGTCTTGTCTCTCTTGTGCATACTGTTTTTCCCTTATTTCTCTTCGTTTCTTTTATCATTTGTTGTAATTTTAACTTATTTACCTTTTCTTTTCTATATGTATTTATAATATCTTTTTATCAAACTACTTATTTCTTCTAACTGATAAATAGGAATTTGAGACTACAGTCTGGCTCTTTAGAATTCTCCTGCAGCACCGAGTATGGCATTTTATAAACAGTGAATGCTTAATAAATGTCACAAACCGGCTGACTCATCGTAGAAGTGGTAGTCTATGGAAAACTTTCCTTGGAGATTTGCTTACTTCTTTTTAATTGCTATTACCTCTTATTACTAACTGATGGGTGTGATTTGAGGAATGTAACTGTTATTTTGTGATTCTTAGATAGTATCTATGTAAATATAATTTAATTACAAGTTTAATTGAAAAATGTCTGATTCCTTTAAGAAAGCAATCAAAGCAGTGATCCCATTTATTAGACCCATTCTGTCTTTGAATTTGTAATGAAATCCATGTCTATTTATTTATTTTTTTTTACAGTGAAGGAGATGAACCTGCAGGACATCAAGGAGGATTTGGAATTGGATCCGGAGGAGAACAGCACCCTTTTTATGGGCATCCTCATTAAGGGGCTGGCCAAACTGAAGAAGATCCCAGAGACAGTGAAGGCAATCAAAGAACGCTTGGAGCAGGAGCTGAAGCAAATTGTAAAGAGGTCTACAACCCAGGTGGCCGACAGTAGCTATCAGAGGGGAGAGAACCTCACTGCGGAGAACCAGCCTAGGTAGATGGGGTGCAGTTTGCGTTTTTGATAACTCTATTTATTGTACATTTTCTAGGGCGAGGAGTAAGAAAATACTATCTTCTGTTGGTGTTATTCCTTCAACTCTGGATACGATACAAACTCAGATGGGGGAAAACAGCTTGAATAAACATAATTCAGCTGGTTTTTGAGGTTGTTGAGAAGTTTTAAAGCATGTTGTCCATACTCAAATGAAAGAATGTAGCAATTATTGAATATTTGCTAAGTACTAAGCAATATTCAAGGAACTTGATGTATAGATTTCATTTAATATTCGCTACAACTTTATGAGCTGCTTATTAGCATCCACATTTAACAGTTAGGGAAACTGGGGTTCAGAGAATAAGTAATTAGCTCAGAGTCACAGAACAAGTGGCTGGTCTTGGAGTTGAAAACAAATCCATGGTCTTTCCTTGGTCCCGGGCTTTCTTCTTTAATGTGTGGACCTATTTTCCAGTAGGCAAATCAGTCTCAGGAGTTCCTGTGTCTCCTTAAAACAACTAATAGGGTTTGGATTTTGTAATTCTTGTTTCATAAGCGGAAAACTGAAATTGTACTCAGATCCTAACTCTATACTGACTGTCGTACACTGGGAGATCATGTTTGCCAAACCAGAGTTTAGGGCATAATAGACTAATGTCATCTGATGGTGGGTCAAGATAGTTGAAACTGAGACTTTCCTAGAATATCCAAGATTCGCTATACATGGGTCTCTCTTCCCTCTTCCCCCTTCTGTGCTTCTACTCCCCAACCCTTCATGTATACCAGATGTGGACAAGGCAGGAATTTGGCATTGGGGGAAAAAGGCCAACGGGAAGTACAATTTCATATGAGAGCAGAGGGCAAAGTAAAGTGTCTTCTCAATTGCTCAAATAATGTGAGCTCTTGGGAGGTGATAGACATTGTGTAGGAGGGATCATAATCTTGTTATGTTGTTCAGGAAATTTTACTCTTTGTACTTAGGGCTTTAAATTTTTTTTAAAAAGAAGATAAATTTAAGGAGAAATAATAGCAGCTTATGTAGTATAGAATTCCCCGACTTCCTTTAAATTTTTTGGAAAAGTTAATGTACTCTATTTACATTTTCTATATTCTTTTGTATACCTAAATAACATTGGTATTAACTATACTTTAAAACTCTTCAAAAACTAATTCCCTTGTAAACTTCATTCAGAAGTATGATTTGTGGAGAAACCATCCTATACCCCTCTTCTGCCACAGAATATTTCACGGCATGTGTTTTGATGAGCACGGGTTTTGGAGTCAAGCAGACCTGCGTTTAAAATGTTAGCTCAGTAATCTGAGGGAAATAATACCTGTTTTACAGGGTTGCTTGCTTTGGATGAGGTTATATGGTTAGCAGTTAGTGGAGCAGCGCCAGTAAGTACGATTACATGCACACGTATGTATGTAAATACACACATTTATTTATTCTTGGTTCTTTCCTCAACTTCCATGTTCTTTCATCACTCACATTGTGATGGAGGGAAGCTGGAAATGGTTCTAAATTGAACTTTTCTTTTCGTCTTTCTTTGCCTGGTGCCTGGATTTCCGTGAAGACCTTTTGCCTCTTTACTAATGAACACTCCGAAATTCTGGTTTGCTATTTGCCCTCTTGCTGCAAGTCCCTAGATGAATACACTGAACTTTCATAGGGAAATAACACGAGTATAGTATATATTGGAAATAAAACGAAAGGGCACGGATCAATAACTTTTCTGCAGATCTCATTACAGTACCCTTAAAAGCACTGTGTCTTTCATAGGATTTTGACCTCTTCCTCTCCATTCCCTAAGCCCCTTCCAGAATTCAGGAGTGGATATTATAGCACTGGAAGTGGAAATTCAGCATACTGCCCCAGGAAATAATAAATGTTTCTCTATGAGGAATGAGTCAGCAGGAGGGCTTTTTTTCCCTATTTGTTTCATTTTTTATCAGCATTTTAAAGGCTTTTGTAGGCAAGATATATTGGACACTAGCAAGTGAACAATCTGTTTGTCTTGGTTTCATGTCTATAACATGATCCCATTTTATAAAATGTACAAATCTGAAATTTTAGGCCAAAACTCTCTATTATGAGATAAAATAGTGCAGAGAAAGTAAATATTTGGGGTGCATCACTCTTTTTGAAAGTCAAAGATTAAATTATTGGACTGGGTTTCCAAATGACTGGTAATTTTGAGGTCGTCTGTGGTGGCTGTGTGCTATCAAATGCTTTAAAACTCTGCAAGAATTAATGCCCTTGGAAATTTCATTCAAAAGTGATTGGCATTGTTGCTTCTAGAAGTTTAGAATTTTAGAAAGAGTATTGTCAGGTTACCCCTCGAAGCTTGCATGGTGCTTTGTGCTCATCGAACTGTACTGGGAAGGTGTTAGAAGCATTTATTTTGGAGAGAAGTCACAATACTTTGCATTATTATTATTATTTGCCATTCAAGGAATCTTACACTAAAGGTATAAGAATCTGTTTTTTCAAAAGAAAGTTGGAGCCTAGGCAAAAAGAACCATGAATCCTCCTTCCCCAACAGGCATTTTCTCTCCCTCACCCCCCAGTGAAATAACCTATTCTAAATCATAGGCATATAAATGCTTCTCTGAGGCAAGATACCAGTGCTGTAACTTTCCCTAAAAGTTTCATTGTTCAATGTCATTTTATTAAATATGTTCTAGTTGTGATGCATTGCAGACCTGTTTTCATTTGTCTTTATGTAAAGAGAATTAATGTTGTGTGCTATTTTTCTAGAAAAGTGGAAGGAACTAGGCTAGTGAGTTCTGTCTTGCTTTTGCTTCCTATGGAGCCAGAATACTTTCACAGCCAGTTTTTAAAAATCACTTTGGTGACCCACCTATTATTTTATTTTATTTTTGACCCCCCCAAAATATTATCTATTTATAGGAGAAATATTTTATCTTTCTGTTCATTCATAATCGATCTAGTGTCTATAAACCTCTGCTTACTGTTAAAGGAAAATATTCAACCACTATTGTTGCCAACTTGATAAACATTAGGGTAACATGTGCTTTGCTAATCTTCCAGAACCACCTGCTACCCATAATTTCCTCAGAAAGGCAGGCTGTGTCTTCAGTTTGAGATGGCTAATGTGGTCTGCAGCCTGTGCAGCTCATAACCAATTTCTTCAACTCCTGCTGCCTAATTATTGATTCTTTCCAAAAATCTAGCTCATGAGCATTTTCATATCATTTTTGTTTCAAAGAAGCTAGAAGTTGTCTAGTATTTAATAAATAAGGAAAACATAAGGAATAGATGGAAGAAATAAAATCTTCTCAAAGGTGTGATACCTTGTCAAGGATATGGAAGAGAGAGGAATGTCGGAAAGAGACTGATTGACATGTGTGTGGCAGCTAACCCCATCTATTTGAAAATGGTCCAGTTTAAACGTGAAGGCAGAAAATTCATTGCAGGGGGAGGTGCTGGAGGCCTGCTCTGCTCGGTAAAACTGTTGGTCTTGACCAGGGCAGAAAGGATTGAAGGAGTTGAAGTCATGGCTGCCAAGGGGACTTTTTTCCCTTTTGGGAGGAGACCACTTTGCAATGTTTCTTGATCTCTGTTATGAATGAAGGAAGATTAAGTGTCTGATATAAAAAGCAGAGAATGTTGCATATTCTGTGTTCATGGTGATATTGAAGAAAGACTCATGGAAAACACAGGAAAGAAATATACTTTAATGCTAAAAGTAGTTGTGTTTGGATAGTAAGGTTGTATGGGTTTTTTTCCCCCCTTCGATTTTGCAACTAAGTTAAAGTGAAAAATAAATTTATTGTTTAAGAATTAATTCAAAGTATTACTCAGGTTATTTTAATCAAAAGAAATCACTAAAATGGAAATGCTTATTGAGGGTATCAGTATGGGAAAACATAATACTTGTTTGCAGACCAACTGGATCACGTCCACGATTACTTTTCATTGTATATGTGTGTCTGTGTGTGTTTGGTCATTTTCTGACTGCTACTAGAATGGAAGCTTCAAGAGAAGAGAGAGCTCGTTTTCCTCGTTCAATACTGTGTCTCCAGAATCTAGCACAGGGCCTCCCTGACCCATAATAAATACTTGTTGAATGAAAGAATGAATTGCACATATTTTGAATATTTGCCATGGGCCAGAAACTGGGCTAAAATGTCAAACAATCAGACATTGTCCCTGTCCTTATGGAGTTTAAAGTCTAGAGGGGAAGAAAAGCATTAATCAGAGAACCCTCAACTAAGTACATTACAAACTGTGTTAAGTGCTATAGAAAAGCAAAGTGTGTCGTGAAAGCATATAGTCATGGGGACCTGATCTGGTCTGTGTAGGTGGGCATTAGAGGGTGTCTTGTGTGTATGTGTGTGTGTTTTAAATAATAAAGTAAGGCAGCTTTTATTGTTATTTTGTACTAGTTGTAGCTATCAAGCTTTGTTCATTTGATAGCACCTACCAGTTGTTCTTCTGGTTTTGCAGCTAGCTTGACATAGGCATATAAGATTGAGAAGGAAAGCAGCTAGATTCTTCGTATGCCATTTTCGAAGTTTTGGGTGACGTCTGTGGTTGATTATATTTTGATACTTATTGCCAAGTGTGCTTTTCTTAGAGATAATACCAAGTTTTCATGTCATCAAAAATCTTTGAGTTCCTCTTTTCCCTTGTCAACAAATTGTGCTGTCCAGTGTTTTAATCTTTGTCATTATCTTATCTTACTTTTCTAACATTTGAATTTTCAATAATGGAATGTTCAAATAATGATTCTTTTTCAGTGACCTATTTTTCTAGGATGTTTGTCTTTTTATTGATTTGCTGAAACTCTTTATACATTAAGAAAATTAGTTCTTTGCAATTCTCCCCCCAGTTTCTTTCTCTTTTGACTTTGTTTCTGATATCTGACCATGTAGACATTTGTTTTTATTTTTCTGAGGCCATATTCATCAATGTTTTCTTTTATAGCTTCTACATTTTGTGTCAAATTTAGTTCTTCCCCACTCTTAGATTA